ACTTCCCACATAAAGTCTCGACAGCAAAGGGGTTCGGGGCCATGTCTCCGTTCCTGCACCCCACCATCCCGGAGTACCCGCCCCACTTCTACGCCGAGCACGGCCTGGCCACCATCTACTCGCCCTACCTGCTGGCCGGGAGCCCGCCCGAGTGCGACGCACCCCTGCTGTCGGTCTACGGCGCCCAGGAGCAGAGACACTTCCTGCCCCACCCGGGGCCCGTCCCGAAGCACCTGGGCCCGGCGCCAGCCACCTACGACCCCTACAGGCTCCTCCAGCAGTACCACGCCAGCCTGCCCCTGCCCTACGGCTTCTACAGGCCGGACTCGGCCTTCTCCTCCTACGGCCTCCGGCTCTCGGCCGGCGGCGCGCGAGAGCAGAGCTCCCACCTGCGGGAGGACGCAGCCCTGGTCTACCCGGCCGCCAGCCCGCCCAAGGCAAACCCTCCCAGCGCCCCCAAGAAACACGCAGAGTCGGAGAAACAGAGCCCGGCCCCTGAGGCCGACGACCCCCCCAAGGACGGGCCGAGGGCCACGGAGGGTGCCAAGATGAGCCCCCGTGCCGGCAGCGCAGCCACGGGCTCCCCGGGGCGGCCGAGCCCCACCAACTTCACTCAGACCAGCCAGCCGTGCGCTGGGCCCTGCGGGCTCGTGGACAAGCTGAGCACCAGCGCCCCGGGACGGCCCCTCCAGCCCGAACACGGCCTGGCCGGCCCCCCGCACGCCCAGGCGTTGGCCGGCAGGGCCGGCTCGCCCGCCAGGTAGGAACGGCGCGCGCCCAGCCCGCTGGCACCTGCCCCTCCCCCAGGAACCCCGCTTCGGGGTCGGTCTCCGCTCTGCTCCTGTCCGCCTGCCAAGCCTGTGTGCCAGGGGCCATCCTGTCACTCTGCCTCCGGCTGGCCTCTCGCACCCTCCCTGCCCGGCACCCCGCTCAGGGCCCTCCCATGCCAGCGGGTGGGCGTTGGGGCTGCACCCGCTAGGGTGGCCGCTGAGCTCTCTGGGGATGCGCTGGAAGCCCCCAGGGCCACACAGCCCAGGCACTGCCCAGGTAGCGTGTCTGCTCTGGCCGCTCGGCCCCTGGTGACGTCACCCTCGCCCCAGCCCCCGCCAGGGCCCCACGTCCCCTCCCCTCCCCTGCCAGAGTCTCACGGCTTTCCCTCCGCCTCTGCAGCCACGACGGGGCAGGTGCAGACGCGCCCTTCCGGACGGACAGCGCCTCTCCAGACACGGAGGCCGCGCCCCCCGACCCAGAGGACGGCTCCAGGATGGCCCCGCTGAACCTCTCCAGGAGGCCGGAGACCAAGCCCCCAGCGGCCCCCGGCCCTCAGGGCGGAGACCCGGCAGCGCCGCAGGACGTGCCCCTCAACCTCTCGGTGAAGGACCCCTGCAATGCCCGGACCCCCAGGCTGTCCTTCCACAGCCCGCCCCGCGAGGCGGAGCTGGCCGCCACGTCCCCAACCACCGAGGCCGGGGGCTCCGCAGAGGGGCCCGAGCAGCCCCGGG